TATATATATATAATTTACTTTAAGCTTGAAATCAAAAATTATGTATATTATAGTTAAAAAAAACATTTACATTTTGATTCCCTCCCCCCTCCTAAAAAATTAAATTTGGGTTTAGTCCGGAAAATTCAAATAATTCATAATTTTTAAATATTATACAAAAAGAATAAGTTTTTATTTTATGAAAAACTTGTCCTTTTGGTCTTATTTTCTCCTTTAAAATGTTCTTTATTTCAGAAATTTTGAAGAAACAAAAATATTGTTTGGTGCTTATAAACTTTTCATCATGATACTTCTGGTTAATCACTTGGAGAAAAAAATAGCTGTTGAAAGCAGACTAATCCGTACTTACAAATGATGTAGGGTAATTGAAAGACGGACGGCATGAGGCTTCCATTGATGGTTCTGAGGATGAGGAAAGTCCAAAAGTTGGTCATGAGGACGGAGGAAATAGCCGTGATGGCCGTGACTAGAATGACGATGAAGAAGACAGGCTTTCGACCTATTCTGAAACGAAAACGAAAGTTCACTGAATTTCAAGTTTAATGGATTCTTTGATTTCGTAATACATAAGTGAGCATTGTTTCAAATACAAATGATATATTGTTAAGGAACAAGAATATTCTGAAATGATATAAATGACTTTAAAGTTCGCATATTTGTCCTATCTATCGTGGGATAGTGACCCAAAGAGGTTGATAGATTTATTTGAAATTCAAAATCGATGTTTTTTTATGCATTTTTAATAATTTATTTGAAAAGTTTTTTTTATGAACGCAAATGGGCCGGGATAGCCTGGTGGGCAAGGCGCTGGACTCACGTTTATGAGAACAGGAGTTGAAATCCAGCCGGCCGAAGACTCACAGTGTAGTAAATTGTGACTGGAGAAAGTTAAAACGGTTGGGTCACAAAGTCTTTCATGTTCCCATAACAAACCAGTATCTCTGTGGGTACTAAATTGAAAATTGATCGTTCTTCGGTTCAGATCAAAATAACGATCTGTGGACGAATGAATGGATGTATGAATAGGTAAACTCTATAAACGGGTGTGTCGTATGGGTGTGGCAGAAGTTGAATTCTTGACCATAGATGGCGCCACTGGAAAACTCCCTCTGCCTTAATAGCCGATGACAACAACAATAAACGCAAATTATGCTTAAATGAACTAATTAAATAGGGTATTAATAGGGACATTAGCCAACTTTTGTTAGAGAGTATGTTAAGGAAAAAGAAATTAAAGTGGTAGCAAATATGCATCTTTTAATACAGTTTGTTGGGAAATAAAACTATTTTTTCCCCTGCTTTGTGAACCAATGGATATTAATAAATCAGATTTATAAATGAAGTAAAATAATTTTTTTTACTACCTTAGAAAAAAAATTGCCTTGTGCGTAAATCGATTACTTTTTAAATAGTCTGAGCATTCTACTTTTGGAACTAGGAGTTAGAGCTTTTATCTTCCTAGGAGTTTTTATCTTCCTAAACCAGAGCTTCCCAGCCTTTTTTCATTCTAATACCTTTGATGAAAGTTTTCCTTTTTTGCATATTTACTCTCATCTAAATAGTCTCACCCATCGAAGCAAAACAACTCATGTTAGTGAAGACAAGGAAGTTGTTCTTAGATTATTTAAAGCAATCAAATGTCTCAAATTAATGAAATTTAGCAGACTTTTAAATTAAATGTAAATTTTTGTTTTTAAATCTGGAAATAAAATAATTCGTGTCATATTATCTTTGAATTAAAACATAATAATTTTCGATTATCTGAACTAAGCCTTCATGAAAAATAAGCATATTTTGTGAAACATAATTTAATGGAATTTTTAAATTTGTTCCAAAGCGATGGACTCAGTTACCTCAGTTGCATTTTTAAATTCAGAGCAGCGCAAAGTTTGTTACGATGCTTGCTCTTAATAAAAGCATATGAAAAAAAAGGCTCTTTTAAAGTGCTCTGAAATAATAAAGGTTAGTAAGTATTTGATTATTTTCATGCTAGCTCTGGAAATGCTTATTAAATTTTTACTATCAGTAGAATCTGAGCCGCGATGGCTCAGGGGATAGAGAGTTCGCCTTCCAATGTGGCGCGAACCGGGTTCGAATCCCAGTAGATACGAATTCCGCATCCGGCTTGCACCGATCACAGTGCTGACGTGAAATATCCTCAGTGGTAGGCGGACCATGGGTTAGAGTCCTCTTGCAGTCAGGCTAACCGTGGGTGGTTCTCGTGTTCCTCCTTTCCATGTAATGCAAATGCGGCTTAGCTCCATCAAAAAGTTCTCCACGAAGGCAAATTTCTCCCATTACTCGATCCAGGAGTTCCCTTGTCTTCTGGATTGGGTGCAAAATTACAAGGCTACGGAGTTGAACATTAGTAGTCGCAAACCCAAAAATTGGGTGGGCTGTTGAATGACGGTTATAAAATTATAAAATATCTCTAGAATCTCTGACAAGAAATTTATATGATTACTATCTTTGAAATCGGATTTCGATTTGTATTGTTAAATAATTATTATTATCTTTTTTGCATAAAATATCAACTTAAAATAGTTAATTTAAGAGATTTAAAACCTAGTTATTATCTTTACCATTCTGTTTAAAAATATATAATCAAAATGACCCCTTGATTTCTTTTAAATGCTAACAGAATGCCATTAATATATTTTTTATTTCAGTTGATTTTATTACGTCCTTCATATTGTATACACATCATTACTGATAATACTTTCATGTACTCAAATGGTACGCGAGTCACGTGAAACTGCGAATCACTTTCGTATAGTTAGTTCATCGATGAAACGCTTGTTTGGACAAATCTTATATTGTGTGTTTAAGAAATTAAGCGTAACATTTTATTCAATTTTTAAACTACTATTATGTAGAATTTAAGAGAGAAAAAAAACAAGCGAATTTCTGTATAAATTTTTTATGAGCAATATTGGTGTTCCGCGCTGACTAATTTTTAACAGCATTTTTCAAAGCTCTTACGACAAGAAAAATATTTAAAAAAAAGTAGCCACAGTTTAAGTGCCTTGCACTTTAGGTAAAGCTATAAGTGATATGCTTTACCACTTCACCGAAAAGAGTTGTTTGAGTTTCAGAATGCACAAACAATTTAAAATTTTAAAATTGATGATGATTTGATATTCAGATGATCATGATGATTTAATTTTCTTAGACTAGGTGATGCGTAACATTTTAAACATTAAAATTGTTTCCCTGATGCTTTTTCTCTGCACGAAACTGCGGTTTTTCATCATATTGACGTTTTGTGCCATTTTCCGAATTAACATTTAAAGATCACTAGCTAAATATTGGCTAAACATAACATCATAACAGTAATAAATAACTGTTGCAAACTCAAGCTATTTCCACTTTCTGAAGCACGCATTTTGGACACTAAAAAGCTCACCAACGTATTATTTTCTTGATTCATTTTAGAACAATATTCAAATAATATATAATTTCACGTCTCTTCTATTAATCTACATGATGTAAACGCTTTTCTTCTTTCTCTGTTGCTCATACCTGACCTGCACGCTTTGCAGGCATAAAAACAAATCTAGAAGAATAAAACTTTTTACTTCATCCCCTAATAATACTTTATTTGATTATAAAAAAAAGTTTCCCATTCAAAGTCAAGAATTTATTTTCGAATTCATTTGTACACCATGACCACTACACGTAACATAATCATTTTCAAATGAAAGTTAACAGACAGCCATCTGACACTGATTATAACTTTTATTTATACGGCATTTGTTATGGAAACGTTTCACTTAACAATAGATGGATAAATGAAGAAATAGGCTACACAAATGAAACGTACTGATTTTACGGGTAATAAGTAGGAGTTTAAAAAACATTGTCATGTTTAGTTAAACAAAGGATGAAAAATTCTCAAGGTTGAAGGCGAGTTGAGTCATTCATATTGCGATTAGAAATATTTCCTTAAAAATGAATAAACCTTAATAGAATTTCTAAGTAAAATAAGGCCTTCATGTGTCATTAAACGGGTTACTGTATAGTTGGGGTGTATACAATCAGAAATTTATTCTCCAAACCACAATATTTCTACCATTGTTTGCAACTTATAAATATTTAATACTTGGTTATAACCAATTTTTCAACTTAAATATTTAAACAAAAAAACTTGTAGTTTGTTTAGTTAATTAGTTTGGATAGTTTTGATTTCATTGAGAAACATCAATGTACATCTTTTTTTTATCTTTCGATATCTTATTTAAAGCTTAACCTTGGATTATACATTTTATACAGCGAGATTAGACATTATTTAAATGCACACACTTTCATGAAATATTGCAAAGTACTATAATTTAATGTTCTTTAATGCTTTAATGTGAAGAAACAAAACTGTGGCGTCTTGCACGCACGATAAAAGTAATTAAAATCATGAAATAACTTTTCTTAACTTACTTGAAGCTCATGTATACTTTACTTGAAAAAACTTTTAATAGACATATTTTACTTTTAAATAACTTTTAACAATTAAATATGTTCTTTTTAAAACCGTACAACCTTAAAGAAATTGAAAAAATAAAAAGGAGTTTTTAAATTAAGAAAGACTTAATTTTTTTGAATTTTTACAGAAAAAGTTTTTTAATTTAAACACAGAAGAAATATAAATATTTTCTGATATTAAAGTGCTAGTATGAGTTTAAGCTACATGCTATTCTCAAATAATTTATCAAGTTTTAACTTAATAGGCTTATTCGAAGTTGAGATATCTTCCTTGCAAAATGGAAAAAATGTGAATTGAGAAGAAATAGACAAGATTTAAGAAAATAATTTAGATAGATTTAGGAAGATTTAGATTAGATAGATTTAGATAATTTAGAGGATTTAAAGACAAACCATTGAATAAATACACTTTAAATAAAATAAGTGAGCTTGCAGATGATTCCAATTTAAAATCTGGCTATGTAATTTTCGGTTTTCAGAGACTGGATTTCAATGTTTTTTTCGTTGCTGTAACAATGGACGTTTTTTGAGTATTATCTAATTATTTGAGTTAAATTGTTCGTTTTTTCGCCCTCAAACGTTCTTTTGTATTGCTTTCAAATATATATTTTACAACAGCGGTTCCCAAATGGTGTTTTGCGGAACCCTAAGATTCCGAGGATAGGTTACAGGGATTCTGAGAGTTAGAACATTTTTAATGACGAATTTTGAAACCTGTCATTAAATTTATATTTTATTAATTATCCATTGTTTACTTAACATTGCCGTCATTTTTATGAAATTATTTAATTAATGCTTCTGAAAAAAAAGAAAGTAAAATTAAAAAATGTCATTTACAAAAACTATATATTGAATGAATAAGGAAAATGATATGCATTTATGAAATTACTTGGCGCAGCCCACTAATTTAATGAATTTTCCGTATAAGGAATTTTTTATCGGGATTCATCGACTTCGTTAAATAGAGATCAGACTGCATTTTCAACTTGTTATTTACATAAAAAATAGACTTACTTGTCAGATAGAGT